GACGAGTCAAGGTCAAGAAGAATCTGAGAGTGGAAGTGGATCTTCATCAAGAGGTGGCGGCGGATTCAATGAGTTAATGGCGTACCTGAGTGAGGGCTTAGTTGTAGACAGTAGTGAGGTGTTTGATTTGGTTGAGTGGTGGAGGGCACGAGCATTAACTTGGCCGATCCTAACACGACTGGCAATGGATATTTTTTCAATCCCGGTCTCCACTGTTGCAGTCGAACAAGCATTCAGTACAACCGGCCGAATACTTGAAGAATGGAGAAACGTATTGCAGCAGGATATTGTTGAAGCTTTGGTGTGCATCAAGGATTGTGACCGTTCTGACCAACGCTTACACGATACAATCTCACCGGCAAACCAAGAATGGATCGACGAATTTAATAGATTAACTTTTAATTTTCAAGATGATCATTCTGCTTCATCTTGATAATTTCTTTGTAAATATTTATTTACTTTGTAATTTCTAATTTGTATAGTGTTTATTGTAATCTTGTATAGACTTTGTAAGTTCATCAAATTTGTAATTCGTCTCACAATGATTGCACTCTTTTTTCCTTACCAAGTTTTTATCCTAATTGGGTTTTTCTTGGTAAGGTTTTTAATGAGCCAATCATGAATTACAAATTTAAAAATCAATGAAGAAGTAATTTTTTTTTATATAGTTCGTTCGTGTGTTCAGTGTTCATTTCATATTTCAAATTGTAATATACACATTGTAATTATACAAATACTTATTTCAACAACATAAAAATATAATATAAAAAAAAAATCGGGCAGCCAGTCGGGCATCAGGCAGGCATCCTTTGCCCGAAGCCCGTTCATTGTAATTTTTGGGTCGGGTCGGGCAGCCCAAAAATTCAGGCAGATCGGGTTCCAACATAAAAATATAATATAAAAAAAAAATCGGGCAGCCAGTCGGGCATCAGGCAGGCATCCTTTGCCCGAAGCCCGTTCATTGTAATTTTTGGGTCGGGTCGGGCAGCCCAAAAATTCAGGCAGATCGGGTTCGGTCATCCACTACAACAATTTTGCCCATTTGCGACGACTTTTTTTGCGACGACATATGTCGTCGCAAATAATATACTATTTGTGACGACATGTCGTCGTAAATACCTTCCGTTAAATAAAATGCACATGTCGTCACTAATAAGTTCAATGTCGTCACAAATAATATTGGCGCGCAAATTTCGATGGCGCGGATTTTTGACGCCAAGGTAATCCATTTTTTTCCGACGATAAGCATCGAATATTTGCGACGACACATCGTCGCAAATAGTTTTGGATTATTTGCGACGACATTATTTCAATGTCGTCGTAAATAATCTAGTTAACGAGAAAGTATGGGCGGGAAAAAGAGGTTATTTGCGACGATGTGTGTATTAATTGCGACGACATTGGCGTCGCAAATAATTTTTTATTTGCGATGACATTTTAAATTTATTTGCGATGAATGTGTCGTCGCAAATAACTGTGACCTAATATACGGTGCTTCTTCTTCTTCATTATCTCTCGACTCTCTCTGCAAAATCTCTCTCTCTCTCCTGC